AGACATCCAGCTCATGAGACAATAGGTCCCATGATTGCAGTGCATTATGAGTAGCTACCAAAGAATATGAGACCATTTTATAGGACCAGATGTATCCTATGGTCCAAACAGTATTCCCTCATTATGGCCCAATATTGTTTGATGCTAATATGTCCCTTCACACTGCTAGACAAATTCTAAAGTGGTTTAATAAACACTGGGATGCAGTCAAATCGCTTTTAAAGCCCCATTAATATAAGCATCATTACAATTTTATGTGAGTGGGAAGCAGATTAATGCTATCTTTGTTGTTGAAAAACATAACAAACAAGCAGGAAAATAACAACAAGCTAAAATGATATTTTCAGTTTGATAATTTGTTTAATATTCCAGCTTGCGAGTACTCTTCTTCTTCTTCTTCTTTTTTTGCAAACAAACCGATAGGGAATGGACTGTGACAGTCTACATGAGACGTTTAAAATGTATGGACTTAAAGGAACTTCAGTTTTTAACTAATAGTATAAGGGAACTTTGCATGCTACCCTGTGATAATGGCTTGCAACAGGCAAAGAAAATATTATGGGGGAAAAAAGATTCTATCAAAACCACAGTACAGCTCAATGAAGCCGAATGATCTCTCTCAAGCTCGACTGGATAAAGTCAAACGCCTTGGTTGTGGACATCAATCCTGTTTATGACTGTTAGATGCTTTCCAGCTCTGCTGTTCAACACAGACCCTTACAGCAAAATCTCTCAAACCTTCGAACAGCAGCGAGTCTGCAGCTGAGACAACAACAACTCAAACTGTTGGTTATTTTCAGAGTTTTGTTTTAAAATCACTTGGAACCGTCATGTTTTCAGTGATTCTTTTATTTCCAGCATGTTTTAAAAGCATCACAGATCCTGTGCTGGCAGAATATGTTCTATATGTGCAGGTTCAGCCATACTTTACTGAAACCACAGAGCGACACAAACTGTGCATCGCCTTGTCACAACAACGTGCTTATTAATTTAAGGTTTTTGAAACTGTACACAGGTTTTTAATTTGTTTTAGCTGTTGCTAAATCTCTATTACACTGATGGAACTGGATGCTGACCTTGCTTTGTAGTACAGGGCGCAGGAGGATATAATATCAGCAAAGTTCATCACAGTCAGGATTTATTTACCTTAGTGAAACCCATACTGAGTATGTTTACTGTGGTTATCTGTGGTTTACCTTTCTCTGTTGGGCTTCTGCCTAAACTGAGTACACTTAAACTCTAA